GCAACTTAAGGCAGAAAAAAAACAGAAATAAAACCACTAAGAAAGAACCGAAAAAAAGGGTGGTCACCAAGTTTCAGTAGAAGTAGATTACATGAATTTCAATAGAAACGAAATTAATTTTAAAAGGTGTTTTCCAAACCAGGTAGAAATGAAGTAACTGTTATATCCTATCGTATTACTCTTTTGCTTCACATTATTTTCGGGTGTCCACAATTATTTTTTCTTCCCAACATCTATTATTTCTACAATCTATGCTCTCCTCTACCATCATTAACTACTTTGATTAAACATCATCAAATCTTACTAGTTCGCCTGAATCATCTACTCTTCAAGCCTCCATATTTTCTGCTTTTACTTCAATTATCTCTCCAGAAACTTACAATCTTTGCAAAACTCTACTCGCTCTATGATCTGAATCGACTTTCTACCTAATCCTACTCCTTCTGTAACTAAATTATACACTTCAACTTCTTACTTACTCGCTGATAGTATTCTTTCATTAGCTAATAACGGAGTAATGAGAAATTTGAAATCGAAAAAATGTTTCCCATTGAGGAAATAATGGAAGAAGTTAAGTCAGAAATTTTAAACCCCGGAACTACCTAGATACTGAGAAGAGTATTACATCACTTGCTGTTAACGAGGAGGATACGAGCCTCATAGAAGGCTAAATTCCAGCTGCTTCAGGTTGACAAAGACATGTTTCAATAGGAAGGTTATATAGGATCGGTATCAAACGTGAAGAATGGGCTGGATACATAACCTACACTGGAGTCAAATTAGAGCGATTCTGAGATCTCTCCCGCGGCTCGGTACCAGAATAGCATTCAGTGTGGCCTGACGACAGACTTCTTTGCCAATGAATATATTTCAACGATACACTCACAGACGCTATTTCGACTACTGAAATAACTTAAAAAGTTCTCTGAAGACTACAGACTCGGAGGTCAACATACTTAACAAATAGAATCGTTCTGCACATTTCTTGTCGCCTGTTTACTCAAACATTAAATAACTATTTTTAAACATCAACGCTATGTTACCAGCTGTGTTGTCACCATACTGTATCTTAATCATTTGGAGCTAGATTTACGTTAGAAACTAGTGTCTCACCATCACTGCGTCCTCAAGTCTTCTACTACCATTCAATCGGTGAGATTTCTGAGACATCACTTTTATAATCTAATGTCCCATATGATTTGGTGTTGTCATTTCTTCGCTCCATATGGTATTAGAACATATATTCTTTCATTTTCTACCTCCTTGTCTACATCCTTACTTCTATTTCTAATTTTCTAATTTTATGTGCAGTCTGGTACGTGTTTCATAACTTCTGATGAAAAGTTGATCCCATGTACAATTAACCTCCACTATAGGATAACTAAGGATTCTGAATCTTGCACTCTCTAGAAGATATGAATTAGTTGGGGATCACATTATTGAGTGTATAAATTGTTAAGACAGGATATAATACAGGCGGCTGTTTGGGATTCTTGAAAATATATTCTGCTAGACGGACCGACACGAATGGTTCAAACTTGGAACAAATCAGATCATTGGAATGATATTAGGAATAAGATCAGGTTGGTAATAGAGTTGTGAATGAGTGGAAAAACTCACTTAATCGCGGTTTTATATTGAGGATGAGACGTTGTGTAGCTCTTAACAAATAGGTTTGGATACCAATACATCCGAGTGGATAGTGGGTGGAGGTGGTGAGTAGACCTAATAGGTGTGCTACCAGGTGGTTGGTTGTTCTTGGCTTAGTCAATGTGTACCTGAACTAACTAGTTCGAGTTATGGCATTGTAAGCCATTGTTTAATTGAAGCTTTGGTGACATGTCCTCGCATGGTGCCATAGTAGGCCCTTGATGTTCTTCAGTTCTTATGTTCATATGTCTGGTATTCGTTGTGTTGGTAGTGTGGTCATTGTGTTGTGTGTGGTCTTGTGTTGGTAGTGTGGTCGTTGTGTTAGGTAGTGTTCATTGTGTTGGTATGTGGTCGTTGTGTTGGTAGTGTGGGTCATTGTGTTGTGTAGTGTGGTCGTTGTGTTGGTAGTGTAGTCATTGTGTTTAATAGCTTTTTTTCATTGTGTTGGGTGTGGTCGTTGTGTTGGTAGTGTGGTCATGTGTTAATAGTGTGGTAATTGTGTTGGTAGTGTGGTCGTTGTGTTGGTATGTGGTCATTGTGTTTAATGTTGGTCATTGTGTTGGTAGTGTGGTCGTTGTGTTGGTAGTGTGGTCGTTGTGTTGGTAGTGTGGTCATTGTGTTGGTAGTGTGGTCGTTGTGTTGGTAGTGTGGTCATTGTGTTAGTAGTTTGGTTCATGTGTGTTTGGTAGTGTGGTCGTTGTGTTGGTAGTGTGGTCTTGTGTTGGTAGTGTGATCATTGTGTTGGTAGTGTGGTCGTTGTGTTGGTAGTGTGGTCTTGTGTTGCAGTGTGGTCGTTGTTTGGCAGTGTGGGCATTGTTTGGTAGTGTGGTTTGTGTTGGCAGTGTGGTCGTTGTGTTGAGTGTGGTCGTTGTGTTGGCAGTGTGGTCGTTGTGTTGGCAGTGTGGTCGTTGTATTGCAGTGTGGTCGTTGTGTTGACAGTGTGGTCGTTGTGTTTACAGCGTGGTCGTTGTGTTGGCAGTGTGGTCGTTGTGTTGGCAGTGTGGTCGTTGTGTTGGCAGTGTGGTCGTTGTGTTGGCAGTGTGGTCGTTGTGTTGGCAGTGTGGTCGTTGTGTTGGCAGTGTGGTCGTTGTGTGTTTGTACAGTCGTGTCGTTTGTGTTGGCAGTGTGGTCATTGTGTTGGCAGTGTGGTCATTGTGTTGGCAGTGTGGTCGTTGTGTTGGCAGTGTGGTCGTTGTGTTGGCAGTGTGGTCATTGTGTTGGCAGTGTGGTCGTTGTGTTGCAGTGGTGGTCGTTGTGTTGGCAGTGGGTCGTTGTGTTGGCAGTGTGGTCGTTGTGTTGGTAGTGTGTCGTTGTGTTGGAGTGTGTCATTGGTTGGCAGTGTGGTCGTTGTGTGTGGCAGTGTGGTCGTTGTGTTGGCAGTGTGGTCTTGTGGGTTGGCAGTGAGGTCGTTGTTGGCAGTGTGGTCGTTGTGTTGGCAGTGTGATCGTTGTGTTGGCAGTGTGGTCTTGTGTTGGCAGTGTGGTCGTTGTGTTGGCAGTGTGTCGTTGCTTGGTCTTGTGTTGGCAGTGTGGCCATTGTGTTGTCAGTGTGGTCTGTATGTGTTGGCAGTGTGTCGTTGTGTTGGCAGTGTTGGTCGTTGTGTTGGCAGTGGGTCGTTGTGTTGGCAGTGGGTCGTTGTTTGGTAGTGTGTCGTTGTGTTGGCAGTGTGGTCTTGTTTTGGGGCAGTGTGGTCGTTGTGTTGGCAGTGGGTCGTTGTATTGCAGTGTGGTCGTTTGTTTGGCAGTGTGGTCGTTGTGTTGGCAGTATGGTCGTTGTATTGCAGTGTGGTCGTTGTGTTGGCAGTGTGGTCGTTGTGTTGGCAGTGTGGTCGTTGTGTTGGCAGTGTGTGTCGTGTGTGGTAGTGTGGTTTTGTGTTGGCAGTGTGGTCATTGTGTTGGCAGTGTGTCGGTTGTGTTTGGCAGTGGGTCGTTGTGTTGCATGTGTCGTTGTTTGGCAGTGTGGTCTTGTGTTGGCAGTGTGGTCGTGTGTTGGTAGTGTGGTCGTTGTGTTGGCAGTGTGGTCGTTGTGTTGGCAGTGTGGTCGTGTTTGGCAGTGTGGTCGTTGTGTTGGCAGTGTGGTCGTTGTGTTGGCAGTGTGGTCATTGTGTTGGCAGTGTGGTCGTTGGTTGGCAGTGTGGTCGTTGTGTTGGCAGTGTGGTCGTGTGTTGGCAGTGTGGTCGTTGTGTGGCAGTGTGTCGTTGTGTTGGCAGTGTAGTCGTTGTGTTTGGCAGTGTGGTCTTGTGTTGGCAGTGAGTCGTTGTATTAGCAGTGTGGTCGTTGTGTGGCAGTGTGGTCGTTGTTTGGCAGTGTGGTCGTTGTATGGCAGTGTGGTGGGTTGTGTATGGCTGTGGTCGTTGTGTTGGCAGTGTGGTCGTTGTATTGGCAATGTGGTCATTGTGTTGGCAGTGTGGTCATTGTGTTGGCAGGGTGATCGTTGTGTTGGCAGTGTGGTCATTGTGTTGGCAGTGTGGTCGTTGTGTTGGCAGTGTGGTCATTGTGTTGGCAGTGTGGTCGTTGTGTTGGCAGTGTGGTCGTTGTGTTGGCAGTGTGGTCGTTGTGTTGGCAGTGTGGTCGTTGTGTTGGCAGTGTGGTCGTTGTGTTGGCAGTGTGGTCGTTGTGTTGGCAGTGTGGTCGTTGTGTTTGGCAGGTGTCATGTGTGGCAGTGTGGCGTTGTGTTGGCAGTGTGGTCATTGTGTTGGCAGTGTGGTCATTGTGTTGGCAGGGTGATCGTTGTGTTGGCAGTGTGGTCATTGTGTTGGCAGTGTGGTCATTGTGTTGGCAGTGTGGTCGTTGTGTTGGCAGTGTGGTCTTAAAGGCACAATACCGTGACTGGAACAATACACAAATAACCGAAACGTCGTCGTAAGCACACACACAAATATACTTTCAATGTAAAAATCTCAGAGGACTGGAATGAAGCAAGGTGGTGAAAGAGAGCTGGAACAATAAGACTAGATGAGGGTCAGAAGAAGAGTCCTAACTGCTCTTCAACCATACGAAGAAAAAGGTGAGTGTGAAGATGAGAAAGGCGCTCAAGTATTAGCAGACACAGTGACCAGACAAAGATTGATGATAGTGATGCTGTGTATTTAAGGGTAACTAGTTCAATCACAGCACCACCTTGTACAATTCCTTTCTTACCCCTGACAGAAAAAGAAGAGCTTTGAGCTGTTCCATCATCAACATCCACGTCCCCCTCCTCCTCCTCTTCTTCTTCGTCTGCCTCCTCCTCTCCTCCTCCTTTTTCTTCTTCCTTGACCTCTTTTTTCCCCTCTTCCTTCTGTTGCTGCTTCTCCTGCTGTATACACCTCAACATAACTCAGGGTAAGCGTGTATCTGTTGTTGTTGCAGTATGAAGCAGCGGGTGTTGTGCTTCCTGCTGGGAGTGGTACTGCCCATAGTCTCCTCTCTCGTCACCTACTCCTTCATCTCCTTCGGTGTTAAGCCTATTCAAGTAGATGAGACAGGTGCTCTCATATGTATGATCATCCTCATTAAGGTTAGTCTTTTATTATTATTATTATTATTATATTATTAGATTATTAAATTATATAGTAATAATTTATTATTTAGATTATTAAATTATTATTATATTTTAAATTATTAGATTATTAATTATTATATTTATTAGATTATTAATTATTATTATATTTATTAGATTATTATTATTATTATTATTATTATTATTATTATTATTATTATTACATTTATGGGAAAGCTCAAAATCCGGAGGCTTTATACAGCGCCCGGGAAAAGGGAAAGTAGTCAGGTTTAATCCGAAGAAGGGGGTAAGGTGGCTCCAGTTCATTGGATCAAGAGCCCTTCTCCAGTCTCAAGGCCCCGCTCCTGGAGGTGGGTAGTCAGCGCCCTCTCAGCACAGTCCCAGACCAGGTCTCCTGGTTGCTGGCCTTATCGACCAGGCTGTTGGTGGCATGATACACCACTGAACGAACCCTCCCATTCCTGAAATCAAACCTGATTTTTCCCCAATTTCCCAGGTAGTGTAAGAGCCCTACGGGTTTAGCGCTTCCCCTGGTAGCAAGTTGTTAAAAAATCTCAATAATTTTGTGCACTCTGACATCTTAAATGAATTTTAGTATTTACATATGCGATCAAATTCCTCTTAGTGTTCATGTTTGGGATTAAATCCTTTTTAGTGTTTATGTATGGGATTAAATTAATTTCAGGGATCATATACGGATTAAATTCTTTTTAATGTTCATATATGAGATGAAAAAATTTTCTGTTTTTGGGAATATTGTTGTACCTACCACTACCTACCCTACCCTAAACTAACCAAACCTACCCTACCCTAAACTAACCAAACCTACCCTACCCTAAACTAACCAAACCTACCCTACCCTAAACTAACCAAACCTACCCTACCCTAAACTAACCAAACCTACCCTACCCTAAACTAACCAAACCTACCCTACCCTAAACTAACCAAACCTACCCTACCCTAAACTAACCAAACCTACCCTACCCTAAACTAACCAAACCTACCCTACCCTAAACTAACCAAACCTACCCTACCCTAAACTAACCAAACCTACCCTACCCTAAACTAACCAAACCTACCCTACCCTAAACTAACCAAACCTACCCTACCTTAACTAACCAAACCTACCCTACCCTAAACTAACCAAACCTACCCTACCCTAAACTAACCAAACCTTACCCAACCCCTACCCTAAACTAACCAAACCTACCCTACCCTAAACTAACCAACCTACCCTACCCTACACCCTAACTAACACCAAACCTACCCTACCCTAAACTAACCAAATCTACCCTACCCTAAACTAACCAAACCTACCCTACCCTAAACTAACCAAACCTACCCTACCCTAACTAACCAAACCTACCCTACCCTAACTAACCAAACCTAACCTACCCTAAACTAACCAAACCTACCCTACCCTAAACTAACCAAACCTACCCTACCCTAAACTAACCAAACCTACCCTAACCCTAAACTAACCAAACCTACCCTACCCTAACTAACCAAACCTATACCCTACCCTAAACTAACCAACCACTACACTACCCTACCCTAACTAACCAAACCTACCCTACCCTAACTAACCAACCTACCCTAATACCTACCTCACCCTACTTTACCATACCTTACCCTTCCCTACCCTAACCCTAACCCTGCCCTACCCTACCCTAACCCTACCCTGCCTTAACCTTGCTTTTCCTACCCTACCCTACCTCAACTTAACCCTACCTACCCAACCCTGCCCTACCTTACTCACCCAACTCCACCCTACCCTAACACCTAACCTATCCTACACTACCCTAAACCCTACCCTGCCTCACCCACTACCGTACCCTAACTAAACTCTCCAACCCTACCCTATAACCATCCCCTACCCTACCCTACCAACCTTACCCTACACTAACCCCTACCTTACCCCTACCTTACCTAACCCTACCTACCTTACCCTAGACCTACCCTACCCTACCATACCCTACCCTTTAAACCCTAACCTTACCCTACCCTACCTAACCCTACCCTACCTTACCCTAACCCCCTAACCCTACCCTACCTAACCCTACTCTACCCTACTTACCTTACCCTAGCCTACCTTCCCCTACCTTACCCTACTCTACCTACTTACCTCACCCTACCTATCTTACCCTACCCTACCTTACCTTACCTTACCCTACCCTACTTTACCCTACCCTACCTTACCCTACCCTACCTTACCCTACCCTACCTTACCTTACCCTACCGTACCTGACCCTATCCTACCCTACCTTACCTTACCTTACCCTAGCCTACCTTACCTTACCCTACTGTAATCTATCCTAACCTAATGTTACCTACCCTAACATCATAGTACCAGTGGTGTACAATATCTCATAGTACCAATGGTGTACAATATCTCATAGTACCAATGGTGTACAATACCTCCATAGTACCAATGTGTACAATATCTCATAGTACCATGTGTACAATGCCTCATAGTACCAATGGGTACAATACCTCATAGTACCAATGGTGTACAATATCTCATATACCATGTGTGTACAATACCTCATAGTACCAATGGTGTACAATATCTCATAGTACCAATGGTGTACAATACCTCATAGTACCAATGGTGTACAATATCTCATAGTACCAGTGGTGTACAATACCTCATAGTACCAGTGGTGTACAATACCTCATAGTACCAATGGTGTACAATACCTCATAGTACCAGTGGTGTACAATACCTCATAGTACCAGTGGTGTACAATACCTCATAGTACCAGTGGTGTACAATACCTCATAGTACCAATGGTGTACAATACCTCATAGTACCAGTGGTGTACAATATCTCATAGTACCAATGGTGTACAATATCTCATAGTACCAATGGTGTACAATATCTCATAGTACCAGTGGTGTACAATGCCTCATAGTACCAATGGTGTACAATATCTCATAGTACCAGTGGTGTACAATATCTCATAGTACCAGTGGTGTACAATACCTCATAGTACCAGTGGTGTACAATACCTCATAGTACCAGTGGTGTACAATATCTCATAGTACCAATGGTGTACAATACCTCATAGTACCAGTGGTGTACAATACCTCATAGTACCAATGGTGTACAATACCTCATAGTACCAATGGTGTACAATACCTCATAGTACCAGTGGTGTACAATACCTCATAGTACCAGTGGTGTACAATACCTCATAGTACCAATGGTGTACAATACCTCATAGTACCAGTGGAGTACAATATCTCATAGTACCAATGGTGTACAATATCTCATAGTACCAATGGTGTACAATATCTCATAGTACCAGTGGTGTACAATGCCTCATAGTACCAATGGTGTTCAATATCTCATAGTACCAATGGTGTACAATATCTCATAGTACCAGTGGTGTACAATACCTCATAGTACCAATGGTGTACAATACCTCATAGTACCAGTGGTGTACAATATCTCATAGTACCAGTGGTGTACAATACCTCATAGTACCAGTGGTGTACAATACCTCATAGTACCAATGGTGTACAATATCTCATAGTACCAGTGTGTGTACAATATCTCATAGTACCAGTGGTGTACAATACCTCATAGTACCAGTGGTGTACAATACCTCATAGTACCAGTGGTGTACAATACCTCATAGTACCAGTGGTGTACAATACCTCATAGTACCAGTGGTGTACAATACCTCATAGTACCAGTGGTGTACAATACCAACTAGTTGATGTTTATGATGAGTTTATGTCTTGTTTATATCATAACCTAAACTATCGTAATGTAACCTAACCTAACCTACCTTAACCTCACCTATCTTAACCTAAACAATTAAATGTGTCCAATATATGTAACTCCTTACTAGTTATTGCTAATCAGAACAAGTATCGTAATACATTTATAAATATTCATCATTTAGAGTCCAAGATTTGTGCAGTACAGAGGCATATATATATATATATATATATATATATATATATATATATATATATATATATATATAATATATATATATATATGTAGTAGTAGGTTGGTAGACAGCAACCACCCAGGGAGGTACTACCGTCCTGCCATGTGAGTGTAAAACGAAAGCCTGTAATTGTTTTACATGATGGTAGGATTGCTGGTGTCTTTTGTCTGTCTCATAAATATGCAAGATTACAGGCATGTCTTGCTACTTCTACTTACACTTAGGTCACACTACACATACATTACACGTTTATTTATACACACTCATCTGAGTTTTCTTGGATTTTATCTTAATAGTTCTTGGTCTTATTACTTTTCCTTTTATATCCATGGGGAAGTGGAATAAAAATCTTCCTCCGTAAGCCATGCGTGTTGTAAAAGTCAACTAAAAATGCCGGGAACAATGGGCTATTAACCCCTTTTCCTGTAAAGATTACTAAAAAGAATAATAAGAAGAAAATTGTCAAAGTGGGAAGTCTGAATGTGCGTGGATGTTGTGCAAATGATAAGAAAGAGATGATTGTGGATGTTATGAATGAGAAGAAGCTGGATGTCCTGGCTTTAAGTGAAACAAAGCTGAAGGGGGTGGGAGAGTTTCAATGGAGAGGAATAAATGGGATTAGGTCAGGGTTTCAAATAGAGTTAGAGCTAAAGAAGGAGTAGCAATAATGTTGAAGGATAAGCTATGGCAGGAAAAGAGGGACTACAAATGCATAAATTCAAGGATTATGTGGAGTAAAATAAAGATTGGATGTGAAAAGTGGGTTATAGTAAGCGTGTATGCACCTGGAGAAGAGAGAAGTGTAGAGGAGAGAGATAGATTCTGGGAAATGTTGAGTGAATGCGTGAGGAGTTTTGAATCAAGTGTGAGAGTAATGGTGGTTGGGGATTTCAATGCTAAAGTGGGTAAAAATGTTATGGAGGGAGTAGTAGGTAAATTTGGGGTGCCAGGGGTAAATGTAAATGGGGAGCCTTTAATTGAGCTATGTGTAGAAAGAAATTTGGTAATAAGTAATACATATTTTATGAAAAAGAGGATAAATAAATATACAAGGTATGATGTAGCACGTAATGAAAGTAGTTTGTTAGATTATGTATTGGTGGATAAAAGATGATGGGTAGGCTCCAGGATGTACATTTTATAGAGGGCAACTGATATATCAGATCATTATTAGTTGTAGCTAACAGTTAGAGTAAGAGGTAGATGGGAAAAGAGGAAGGTGGCAACAACAAGTAAGAGGGGCGTGAAAGTGTATAAACTAAGGGAGGAGGAAGTTCGGCGAGATATAAGCGACTATTGGCAGAAGTGGGCTAGTGCAAAGATGAGTATGGGGGGTTGAAGAGGGTTGGAATAGTTTTAAAAATGCAATAATAGAATGTGGGGCAGAAGTTTGTGGTTATAGGAGGGTGGGGGCAGGAGGAAAGAGGAGTGATTGGTGAATGATGAAGTAAAGGGTGTGATAAAAGAGAAAAAGGTAGCTTACGAGAGGTTTTTACAAAGCAGAAGTGTTATAAGAAGAGCAGAGTATATGGAGAATAAAGAAAGGTGAAGAGAGTGGTGGGGAGTACAAAAGGAGAGCAGATGAAGAGGGGAGAGGCACTGTCAAGAAATTTTAATGAAAATAAAAAAAAATTTGGAGTGAGTTAAACAAGTTTTAAAAAAGCCTAGGGAAAGTATGGATTTGTCAGTTAAAAACAGAGTAGGGGAGTTTGTGAAAAGGGGGGAGGAAGGTATTAGGTAGATGGCGAGAAAATTTGGGGAACTTTTAAATGTTGAGGAAGAAAGGGAGGCGGTAATTTCATGCACTGGCCAGGGAGGTATACCATCTTTAGGAGTGAAGAAGAGCAGAATTAAGTGTGGGGGAGGTAGTGAGGCATTACGTAGAATGAAAGGGGTAAAGCACTGAACTGATGGATCATGACAGAAATGTTAAAAGCAGGGGGGGATATAGTGTTGGGAAAGTGGTTTGGTACTTTTGTTTAATAAATGTATGAAAGAGGGGAAGGTACCTAGGGATTGGCGGAGAGCGTGTATAGTTCCTTTATAAAAGGGAAAGGGGACAAAAAAGATTGTAAAAATTAATAGAGGAATAAGTTTACTGAGTATACCAGGAAAAGTATACGGTAGAGTTATAATTGAAAGAATTAGAGGTAAGACAGAATGTAGAATTGCGGATGAGCAAAAAGGGCTTCAGAGTGGGTAGGGATGTTTAGATCAAGTGTTTACATTGAAGCATATATGTGAACAGTATTTAGATAAAGGGTAGGGAAGTTTTTATTGCATTTATGGATTTAGAAAAGGCAATGATAGAGTGGATAAGGAGCAATGTGGCAGATGTTGCAAGTTTATGGAATAGGTGGTAAGTTACTAATGCTGTAAAGAGTTTTTATGAGGATAGTGAGGCTCGGGTTAGGGTGTGTAGAAGAGAGGAGACTACTTCCCGTAAAAGTAGTCTTAGACAGGGATGTGTAATGTCACCATGGTTGTTTAATATTTTTAATAGATGGGGTTGTAAAAGAAGTAAATGCTGGGGTGTTCGGGAGAGGGGGGGATTAAAATTTAGGGGAATCAAATTCAAAAGGGGAATTGACACAGTATTTTTTTGCTAAATGATACTGTGTTTATGGGAGATTCTAAAGAAAAATTGAAAAGGGTTTAGTGGATGAGTTGAGAATGTGTGTAAAGGTAGAAAGTTGAAAGTGAACATAAAAGAGTAAGCGATGAGGTATCAAATGATTTAGATAAAGGAAAATTGAATATCAAATTGGGGAGGAGGAGTATGGAAGAAGTGAATTTTTTCAGATACTTGGGAGTTGACGTGTCGGCGGATGGATTTATGAAGGATAGGTTAATCATAGATTGATGAGGGAAAAAAGGTGATTTGGTGCGTTGAGGTATAGTGGAGTAAAAAAACTTTATCTAGGGGAGCAAAGAAGGGAATGTATGAAAGTATAGTAGTACCAACACTCTTATATGGATGTGAAGCTTGGGTGGAAAATGCAGCAGCGAGGAGACGGTTGGAGGCAGTGGAGATGTCCTGTCTAAGGGCAATGTGTGGGTGTAAATTTTATGCAGAAAATTCGGAGTGTGGAAATTAGGAGAAGGGGGAGGGCAGAAGAGGGGTTGTTGGGGTGGTTTGGTCATTTAGAGAGAATGGATCAAAGTAGAATGACATGGAAAGCATATAAATCTATGGGGGAAGGAAAGGGGGGTAGGGGTCGTCTCGAAAGGTTGGAAAGAGGGGGTAAAGGGGGTTTTTTGTGGGCGGGGGGCTTGGACTTCCAGCAAGCGTGCATGAGCGTTTTAGATAGGAGTGAATGGAGACGAATGATACTTGGGACCTGACGATCTGTTGGAGTGTAAGCAGGGTAATATTTAGTGAAGGGATTCAAGGAAACCGGTTTTTTTCTTAAGTCGGGCTTGAGTCCGGAAATGGGAAGTACAATGCCTGCACTTTAAAGGAGGGATATGTTGTGTATCTTTATCGTAATGCTTCTAAACTGTTGTATTCTGAGCACCTCTGCAAAAACAGTGATAATGTGTGAGTGTGGTGAAAGTGTTGAATGATGATGAATTATTTTCTTTTTGGGGGGTTTTCTTTCTTTTTTTGGTCATCCTGCCTCGGTGGAGACGACCAACCTTGTTAAAAATAATATATATAAAAATAAATATATATATATAATATATATATATATAAAAAATTTCGCAAGAGCAGGCTATACCATTTACACCACACTGGACAATACCTTGGCGTCTAACACAATGCTAGACGTTGGTCCAAGGCAGCCAGCTTTCAGGGAGAAGGCTTACAGCTTTTCATCTCATCCCCTGCATGCATCAGCCTTACTAGAGATTTTAACAATATTTTTGACTATTATCTCTCTTATCTTAGCAATCACTAATTATAATCAATATAGTGATGTGACTTTTACGTCTTCTATAATAATTTGTTATCTCTTCCATGTACCGTTATCTCTGTCACCTTCCATTGTTATCTCTGTCACCTTCCATTGTTATCTCTGTCACCTTCCACTGTTATGTCTGTCACCTTCCACTGTTATCTCTGTCACCTTCCACTGTTATCTCTGTCACCTTCCACTGTTATCTCTGTCACCTTCCACTGTTATCTCTGTCACCTTCCACTTTTATCTCAGTCAACTTCGTCGTAGCTAGTAAGAGGTTCTGGATCCAAGGAATTGGACTCATCCATTTTTTTCTATGGTCGAACCTCATTGACCTTCGCTTCCCCCAGGCGCTGTATGGCACCTATGGGTTATACTAATATTAATAATAATAATAGTAATAGTAATGATCATAATCATAACAATAATATTAAAATAATAAGAGTAAAAACACTAATAGTAAAGATAATAATAATAATAATAATCATGATACAGCTGGTGTTGCTGTGGACACAAGGCATCTTCCCTATCGACCTCAATGGTGTCCTTTTTAGCATATATGAGAGACGAGAGAGGTCGATCAACGGTTCTACTATCAACGACAGGCACTCTCTATATCAGGTGAGCAGAGAGAGAGAGAGAGAGAGAGAGAGAGAGAAAATGCGAGAGAATGTAGGAATACCTGGAATGGATATTTGAAACATGGAAGAAATATTTTAGATTTACTTTTCTTGTGGTTTATAATTTATTTTATTCAGCTTATCTTCTGGTTTATAATTTTCTTCAGCTGCAGAGAAGTGAATTCCAGTGAAGCATAAAAATTTACTTAAAACGAAGACTGATAACAATCCATGAAAGTTGTGTGTTGCATGATATATTCCATTTTAATACATGCAGCTGCTACGTGTCTGCTCCTACGTCAGGTACCTGACGTAGAGGATATGCCGTGCATCCGGAGGTTCCTCTGTGAGATGGAGACGGCAGCCAAGACCAGCGACAACTACTTGCCGAAGGAGCCAGCCGTGGTCAACGACAGGATTCTGGAGGAGGAGGTCGCTCCTGAGGAGGTCGACCCTCTGACAGAGATGCAAGTGGAGGCCGTCCGTGCCCTCTACAGGTGAGTCTGGAGGCGCCGTCCTCGGCTAGTCGCAGTGTTGTTTTTTGATATAATATATATATATAAATATATATATATATAATATATATATATATAAATTATATATATATATATATATATATATTATTATTTTTTTATTATCACACTGGCCGATTCCCACCAAGGCAGGGTGGCCCGAAAAAGAAAAACTTTTTACCATCATTCACCCATCACTGTCTTGCCAGAAGGGTGCTTTACACTACAGTTTTTTTAAAATGCAACATAACACCCCTCCTTCAGAGTGCAGGCACTGTACTTCCCATTTCCAGGACTCAAGTCCGGCCTGCCGGTTTCCCTGAACCCCTTCATAAATGTTACTTTGCTCACACTCCAACAGCACGTCAAGTATTTAAAAACCATTTGTCTCCATTCACTCCTATCAAACACGCTCACGCATGCCTGCTGGAAGTCCAAGCCCCTCGCACACAAAACCTCCTTTACCCCCTCTCTCCAACCTTTCCTAGGCCCGACCCCCTACCCCGCCTTCCTTCCACTACAGACTGATACACTCTTGAAGTTATTCTGTTTCGCTCCATTCTCTCTACATGTCCGAACCACCTCAACAACCCTTCCTCAGCCCTCTGGAGAACAGTTTTGGTAATCCCGCACCTCCTCCTAACTTCCAAACTACGAATTCTCGCA